TATTCATTTTAGAGCATTAGTGAATTAAAAAAAAGCTGTATAAAAACCGGAATGTCCAACTGATAAGGCTGAAAATTTTTTCACTTGTCATTTACAGTAAGATAAATACATTCACCAACTTTTATTAAAATAAAACCATTTAAACTGGGTGTTCGGATTTATATGTCACTTAGTATATAACTTGTTTCGTGAAAGCATTTCCCATCATTATGTGTGGTTCCTATAAATGGTAATACAAACAATAATGGCGTTGTATTAAAATAACCTTCCCCTATGTGTAGTCTAAGAAATATAGTAAAATCTTTTGAGGAAATTGCAAGTGCAAAAATTATTCGGCGAGAACGTGTGAAACGTGTTGCGCTATAAGAATTATGGGTCGTGCAAGGAAAAAAGTGTTCATCCGATTGTCGCTGGATTGCCTGGATTAGTGACTCCCTTCCATTTCTTTTCTCCTTTTCTATCAACTGTTAGGTGTCCGGAAACTTTTTAATAGTAGTGTGAGAGATAGCAGCAACCGATGTTGTTAAAAGTAGAATTCGTAGTACATATGGGCGGGTGGCTAGATGAGTTAGTAAGACATCAATGCCCTCTTGAGAAATATCAATTAAATCTAAATACTCACAATACCAGATAACCCTAGCCTAGTAACCACAAAACCAGAAGCACAACTATTAAAATAAGGTCACAAATTAATCTTCCACAGGATGTCCCACAATTATTACACTACCTGATGGATTGCGTTCAGCGTAACTACAAAGAAACACACTGAAGTTTATGTTCCCTAATCAGATATTCAAAATAGTGATTAAATTACTACCTTAATTAAATTGGAATTACCGATTTAATTGGAATAATCGATTCAACCTTCCGAATGTTATATTTTGGTGCATTTTCTCGTCCCAGTATGAAATCGCGTTGTTATTGATTTAGAGGACTCATTGCACCGATTGGGAAATGATTATCGGTAGCTTCTTAGGGCAATTTTAATGAAGGTTGAACGCTACCGTATTTTTCAAGTAATCACTGGCTCTGATTATCACTGTATGTTGTGCTCACATACCCATTTACAAACGTTTGGTGCATGCATACATATTCTAAAGCAGACAGTCGACAATTTCAACGGAATTCAACGGAACATGGGCTTATGAGATAACTCATTTCGAAACTTTCAGTATTTTATAGTACTAAATTATTTCACTATTCTTGAAAATTAATACCTTTCATTGTGTCAAAAGTTGAGCGTTTTTGTACATTGAATCACCTCTACCTCAAGAAGCAATCATTAAAACGCTGTATACCTACTATGCTACGTTAATGTTCTCTACATGATCGGCAGAGAATCATTGAGGTTCCATATTTACTGTGTAGAAGGAGGATCAGTATTATAATTTGCGACCTGTACGATACTACGGTTCAATAATTAATGGGTTTCCTCCGGTTTTAAAACTGCTTGTAATGACAGCGTTGTCCCCTCATGAGCGGGGCCGTGCCAAATGCTTGTTCCGGAAGTTGTTGTATCCAAGATACAACTTCTTCCCGTTCAAGTGATTGTGCAGGCGTTAAGGAATCCCCCAGTAACGACTGCCGGGTGACGGTACAAGTCCGCCAACGGGCCACTTTAGGTCAATATCACTAACATGTAAAACGAAGGTGGTAAACAAGGATCAGTCGACCGAGGCGGTACCACCCGCTAACTTTTCCCAGGGTGTCTTATAAATTTTCGCATTATTCCACACCTGAGCTATGTAGTCGGTTATCTCCCAAAACAAAGAAATTAATGATGATGGATCCCTCCAGCACTAAGAACTCCGAACGTAAGCTCACTCCACTCGGAATGTCTGGGTGGAGGGTGGGCTCGAGGGAACAACATCGAAGATATAATTTGTTTTCATCCAATCGTCCCGCCGTGCTTTTCTTGGCGAGACAAAAATCTCAGAGTCTGCACCGATTAACCAGCTCAACTTTCCAAACTACGAGGTGCACTGAGAAAGAACGGGGGAGTTGTGGCTTTTGTCCGCAGCAGTCTTTCCTGCTCCAGAGATGCTTCTTTGGAATCAGACCGGAAGGACATTCTGTGGCTTCGCCTCAAGTCCAAACCATCACCCAAATTTATTTGCTGACTTTATCGCTCTCCCTCGGACCATAACTGGGATGACCTACTCGAATACCTCACCGTCCAGATCGACTTCCTGAACATCAATCACTCCGCTTTAAAGGTAGTTCTTCTCGGTGATTTCAATGTCCATAATGAGCTTTGGTTGGGCTCAAACAAGACCGATGCAGCAGGTCGTGCAGTCGAAGCGTTCGCTCTTACTCTAAGGCCGACCTAGCCCTACTTCTTCCCCCGCGTCTTGTCATACGCCAGTAGCCTGCTGGGTCTCTTTCTGACCACGCATGCTGTCCCTTACAGCACTGCTGTCCTGTCCCCCTTGGGTAACTCAAACCACGGTATTGTGGAGGTTCGGTTTCGGTCAGAACCCGCTGTGGCAGCAGAAACCCGTACAGCCCGCAAAACTTGGCATTACGGACATGCCGACTGGGAGGGGCTCAGAGACTTCTTCTCTAGATTTCCTTGGAGAGATGTCTGTTTCACTGACGTGGATGCGTCGGCTGTCTGTTCTTCGATAACAAAAATTATCCACATCGGAATGGAGGAATACATCCCTCACGCAGTGAAAGTGCCTAAACCAGGGCCCAACGGCTGGTTTAACAAATCGTGTGACACTGCTCGCCAGCAGAAGATCAAGGCACACAGAACCTTCTTACAAAACCCCACTGTAGAGAACAGACAAGCCGACGTCGAGTCCAGAAACAGATATAACGAATCGGTTCGCAATGCCAAAAACCAGCGCGATATAAAAGTTAGGCACAGGTAATGTCGCAACACAATAGCAGTCGGTCTTTCTTCACGCTGGCCATGCAGATTAAAAATAACTTCTCACACAGTAGCATTCCACCACTTACGTGTCAGGATGGAACTATTGTATTCGACTCAAGGGCCAAGGCGGAAGTGCTAGTCAAGATCTTTGCTGCCAACTCCACCATGGACGTCCCCCCCAACGCCCAAGTGCCGTCAGTTCAAAGGGTTCCCTACATTATGCGGGAGGTAGCATTCAGACTGTAAGACGAGTACTGTTGTCTCACGACATCAGCAAAGCTTCTGGTCCGGACTTGATTCCTGCCACTGTACTGAAGAGTTGTGCAGCAGAGCTTGCTCCAGTTCTTTCGCGTCTCTTTCAAATATCTTATGAATCCGGCACCCTCCCAGAAAACTGGGAATTTGCTCATGTCCAACCCATCCCAAATAAAGGATCTAAGACTGAACCCTTACAACTCCAGGCCTATAGCTCTGCTTTCTGTTATAAGTAAGGTGATGGAGAGGTGCATAAATTGCGAGCTTCTGGAGTAAACTCATCCAGTCTTATAGTGAGTCTCACGTCGTTGCTCTTGACATCACGAAAGCGTTCGATCAGCTGTGGCACGCTGCCCTCTTAAGCAAACTTCCATCCTATGGCCTCCCAGAAAAGCTATGCAGATGGGTGGCTGACTTTATCTCTGGCCGCAAGATATCCGTCGTCCCCCTGACTTTGGCGTTCCATCCTAACCGTGTCGAACTTTGTACATCCAGAACTGGCCGATACGACCGCTCCTTTGTCCCGAGGGTGTCGAGATTGTGGAACAATCTACAAGAGGAAGCTTTTCCCAGTTCTACTAACCTTAGGCAGTTCAAAAATCGTATTAACAAAATTTCTTTATTATCATCATAGCAGCCGCGGTGTGCGGGCATTTAGGCTTCTGCCGCGCAGGCTGGTTCGATATAAAAAAAAACAAAGATCACCACCTTAGGTTTTTGGATCTACGGGACCGCATCTTGTCCACAAGGTCAACTAGAGACCAATGGTTTGGAGCGCATGGAAAGAATTATGATATCAGGGGCTATTGGTTATTGAAGCAGATCAGCAGAAGCAAGATGACCGCCGTAACCACATTTTTTGCATACGCATGCTCATCAACCACCGTTTTCAACAAGATAATGTGCGACCACTTATAGTTAAAATTACGTTGCTCCATTTTGAAGACAGTCGAGTTGATTTGTTGCCTTGGATCTCCCGATTTTTTATCCATTGAACGCATCATGGCAGGAATATTATTGCATTTTCCCCATCCTCCATAGACTCCAGCGGTACTTCGAAACGAGGTATAAGTAGCCTGGGATCAGATACCTCAGGATGAAATCGATGATATGATTAGGAGTATGCCTTGACGTGTTTCTGGGTGCATAATGCTTCGTGAACGCTCAACAAGTTATCAATTTTTTACATATTTTCAACGGTTGGATTTTCCAAAAATTTTGATCAATTACTTACCTAACAGTATGAGACGTATACACAAACAGTTGTTGTAATAAATTCTTTATTACTGGGTGTTCTTATTTATATACCACTTAATATAATAAAGTGCAAGTAAGCGTAGTGAGTCATAAGAATTACTGGAGACGAATATGAGTTATTGAAAAGCTCATAACTGTCAGATTATATTTGTTTTAACTGCTTAATAAAAAGAAACAAATCATAAAAATGCGTTCAAGCGGTGTTTCGTAACGTGATATTCGAGTGTATTGACTCTCGGCATCCACAATAGTTTCTTGATAACTTGTAGATTACTGACAAAATCAAACATCCTTCCAAGAACAAACATTCTTCAGTGGCACTTAATGTGGATCTCGCTAAGCAAGTTGCGTTTGATTCCACTATAACATTAACCTTGTCGATTATTTAAATATCATTCATATCCTGCCTAGCATAAAATTCCTAAGTATTCCCGTTTAAGGCAGGGCCTGTATAATCAAAAAGCCTAAAAACACTAATCAAACTACAACAATAAAGCCAAAATTTATCGCATCCGCTGACATAATAGCCGGTATAAATTTTGTTATACATCTTCTGAAAACTAGTTTGCTAAGGTCAAGCAAAAGAATATCTTGAACCAAAAAAGATGCGACATTATATTGTTTTTTAGGAGGGGGCATGTTGTTAAAAAATGCGCCTCAGAATATATAAACATGCCGGGTGGATCTCAAGGTAGTTTTGAGCTGGTTTTGTAATACGGGTGTGAAAATGAGAGTGGTGAGTAGAATACCTTCTTCTGCGTGGAATGCGTGCGAATCAGTGTATCGCGTTTTTGGAGAATATTGGCAGTGGAGTGCAAGAAGATATGTCCTTGCTTAATTGGAAGTTTTGCGTGCTGTTTAGAAAGTCACTTTTACTTTTTCTGTCTAACCAGTGACTCGCCAGTTCAACTTGCCTCAGTTCTGTCGCTTTTACAAAATTGTTCACTACCTACCTTTCTAACCTCACTTTCAGAAACCAGTGAATTCGTTTTGCAATGTTTGCTTGTGTTCTCGAAATCCGATTGTTAGAAGCTAGTTAAGAAATATTCTCAATTGTACCATAAATACCAAAGGCTGAAAAGTGCCTTTAAGGAAAGTCTTTATTTTGTTATCTTTAAAACAGTTTGCCTAAACTGAATTTTCGTGTGATTTATTAGTGCTTCTGTAAGTGAAGGAGTTGGATCGATTTAAGTGCTTTTTCACAGCTTTTAAAATTTTATCCATGAAACGTCTCTGTTGTGTCATGTTTACTGTTAAAATAGAATTCAACCTGTTGATTTTCTAACACAAAAAGATATCAACGTCAGCCCCTTGAAAATTACTTGAAGAAATATCCAAAAATTTTCACTTTTGGTACGTGTGGAATTGAAATTCGGCTTATCGTTTTAGTTTGTTCTTTAAAAATGGTCATTTTCACTTGAATACTGGGTGTTAATAAACTACCTGGACCAATTTCAAGGGATGATTTCTTGGAAGTAAAGCTTTTTTTGAATATGTATGTTTTCGTAAGAATCTGAATAGCGTTTCAGCTGCTTTTACTAATAACCTCTTCTAGAAGTATATATAGTAAGTAACAAGAACTGGCGACTAAAGCTCCAACCCCAGAGTGAACAATTTTGTAAAGCATATTTTTTAAATGATTCTAGTTAGATTTTCGGCGGTGTCTGTACCTGCACAATCTTCCCTAAGAAGCCATTATCAAATAAATTGTTTATTAAAAGCGAAGCATCGTTCATCATTCATTGATTCTCAAAATCCAGTTTGTTAACATGTTATATATCAAACCTCAGGTTTTAATCAAATTGGTGAATCTGACCTTCCGCAACTGCCCCAAAAACAACCAAATCCATCCAATGGAGGATGAAAAGCCATAAAATCAATCATTTCGTAAACTCACATTTTTCCCGATACGTTTTTTTTTTTAAGAATGCATTCCTTAAAGGCAGATACTGTATAAGACGCGTTCATTGCAAAAAATACACAAGTCCGTACATGCACTACTCTTCGCAAGGTACTTGAAAATCAGTACCAGGAACCTTTCTGTTCTTTCTATACCTTTGCGCTATATGCAACAAAATAATTTTAAATTCACTGACGACAAAAATTAGGCTACGTGCGAACACTTCCGCTATACACTTTGCCTTATCCGCTTTGCCAGAATTCACTTATTGAAAAGTTTTCTTGTTCTTAGCAAAACCTTTGACTCAACTCTCATCATTTATTCGTATGACTGAGAAAGTCCTTTAGAGAAATATTTTAAAAAGCTGCTGGTATACATGATATAACAATGGAATTACACACAGGACATCTATCCTGCAATTTAACTTTTTGGTTGGAAAAATACATTTTGCTAGTCAAATAAGCACGTGGGTTCTTATAGAATATATTATCGATTATTGAAGAAGGTTGAATGGATATGGCTTTGAACCTCTTAACGATGGTTAATTTATGGTTTGTACGCAAACCCCGAAATTCGATGTTCCCGGGTTTTTTTACTACGCACCTTGAAGATATCAATACTTATATGTCACGAACCTGATTTTATAATCTATGAAAATATTGATCATAATAAGTTGTCCAAAATATTATCGTTTCTGAAATTTGATTCAGAGGCGGTGGAGCTACAAGCAAACAACAGAAAAATAAAAACCGCTCTAACGATGTTTCAGTAGCTGCTGGCCATTTTGAAAAAATAAATGCTGCAGTGGTTATAAATTGGCCGGTAATTGTAAAGGGTAGAGGAGAGTAGATATCAATTTTTCCTGGTAATTCTAGGTACCTATTAGTTTATGGTTCACGTATTATGTGTTTGGCAGTACATCCCAAACTTTAAGCAATATTTTTAACAGACACGACGTGGTATCGGTCTCACGGCAACCATTTGAACGTATACTACTATGTGCACATGACCGCTCACCGCTGACATTGGCTTATGACATAGCTGACAGGTGTGGTTCAGCAACATTGCCAGATGGTCGATACTGTCGCTTGGGTAAGGAAGAGCGGATCGTTATCAAATAGGTGGGGACTGTGGATCAATTATATGGGTCTGTTTGGCTGACCTGATCCATTTAATCTCTTTATTATACATGTTCGTAGATAACTTCTTCTTAGAGGGTTTAACTTGTGCGGTACATAGTAGTTTATCAACTGACAGCGTTCAGTGGAGAGGACATTTTTCTGACTGGTGGGCGCCGACGTGGCTTTGTGTTTGAATTACACAATTATAATTCCTTATATGTCTTCCGTCGATCTGAATAAAATATGGTAATGTTACCCATAATTTTAAGAACCTAGGTGGTTCTAATTTGTAACCGTTCGTAAACTGAAATGTGCCACGGATTTTATGCAAATTTCATTTCTGAAATCTCGACCTCGTTCGCTGTGAAAATTTTCTATGACAATCAGTTTCTCGTCGTGCGATTAAAAAATCAGAATGCGGCAATATAATAGGATATCAAGAATTTTGGACATATTCCTAGCTGTGTGACTGTTCTAGTTTATTTGTTTGCTCTTAGCTTGTGTGGTTTTTGAGCATTTGACTTCTTTGTGTACTGTTCATCCATTCACTCTTGAAAACTATTGAATTTATTCTCTGTTGTATAGGCTTTGTGATGAGAAGTCACTTTTTTGGCTCACTAACCTACGGCTGGTTCATAACGAGAAAAAATTATTACATCAAAAATTTAATAAAACAAATTATTTGTTCCTTGAGTAACAACACTTGGAAGTATAGATCCAATTTCCGCAGTCGTCATTAATTTTTAGACGCAATATACGTATATATAATGTCCCATTTCATATTATTCTTTTGCACCAATAATGTTTCAGGTTTTCTTCAGCAGACGTCTACTCAATCTTGAATAAAATATCTAGTTTCAAATGAACCACCCTATCTGCATATAACCTTTGATGTGACAACGGGTGCTTGAGTGTACTAGCTAGAAAACTGATCCTTTGGAATAATCATTTAAGAATTTTCAAAAGCTCTTTTCATTACGAACAAGTGCGAATACCGGCGAGGTTTTTGACAAAATGATTTAAATTGTATTTGTACATTCTTGTATCTGTTCTTATTCTGTAGATCGCTTAGGTGTATATAATTTTATATAATGCGCTTTTTGGTTCATGTAAATACTGTCCACTTAATTCTAAAAAACCTTTTTCATTATTTGTCGTTGAATAAAGCTTTTCTACAAAAATTGACTGTGACCTGTTTTAAATACCTCTCTGGAAAACTTGCATTAAAACTTGACATTGCTGTTATTTTGGGGGAATTTGCTGATATGATTGTAGTAGTAATGAATATGACCTAATAGATACGGATTAATTGATTTTTATTGAACTTTTAAAAGAGTTGCAAGTATTACCGAATCAGAGATAAAAACAGTGTACGAATGACGTGAATGCAACCAGTGAAGCAATTCATAATTCTTCGTTCTAAAGACCTCAGATCTTACGCAACCCATTTTTCTTTTATTTCAGCTGCTAATACCAATGCTGGCCGCTTTTGCGACCGCGGCGCCCCAGTTCCAGCAACCGCAGCAGTACAACCCCTACAACCCGTTTGCCACGGTTACCACACAAAGGCCGTTCCAACGACAGCCTTTTGGCCAGCAACCATTCCAAAGGTTTGTTGAAAAATAATTAATTGTCACCTGTGTTCAAACAAATCAATCCCATCGAATGCATTCGAAATCGAACGTCTATTATTACTTCAAGCACACCCCTAACTCAGAAACGACCCATTATACAGAAAAATGTTAAAAACAAAAGTTTCTTGGTTTAAGTTAAAGTTTTATTTCATTATACTTTTGCGTTCCATTAAAAAAGTGAGTTTCTTCAAATTAATTTTGTCAAAGTTTGAATGTGCTTCGTATACCGTATGAAGTGAAATTTAGAAAAATATAAATATGGGGGTATGTTAAGTGAACGATACCATTATCTGTTATTACAGCATTGCGCCCTTTTGAGGATAACTGAAATGAACAAAACTCAATAGATCTCAAAAACGTAGCAGATTATATTTATACATGTAATGATAAAATGTATTTGAAATCAGGTGTAGAAGCCAAAAATGCAATAAAATATAAGGGTTGCTGTTTAACTGGAACTGAAAAAACTGGACACTATGTATACACAAAAATACAGGGTGGCGCATCGAAAATGAAACAGACGCATTTACTGGCAGCTCAGTTTTTTTTGGAAAAACGCTCGGAGCCGTCGATTTTGTTTTCGATGGGGACACAAGTTTGGCAAAAAATCGCGTTAACACGTGCAGCCCCCTGGGCGGGGGTGACACCAGCCCTAAAATCTTAAAGGGAAAGGGGGGTCGAGTGATACCTTATTTTAAAGGGCTTTCAATTCCCTTTATAATGATGTAAAATGCATGAGCTTCAGTTCAGTAGTTTTGAAGATTTGTTGATTTAAAGCTTAAAGTAGACTTTAATAGGTACATCAGATTAGTTTGTACTAGTTTCAGAAGAAATTTGACTAAAAGAATTTACTTAATAAGTAAATGCTTCTCTTCACTACGCCCATGGTTTGCTTATCATTTTGTTGATGAAAATAGCTATTGGAGCGTTTTTTGTGGCAAAAAAGTTATTTCTTGAAGAAAGATAAGGAAATACCTCGTACTTATTTTAAATAGGAATTTAGTACATAGTTTGCGATTGATTTGACCAAACTTTGTTGCTAAAATAACTTGCAACGCTTTATTACATAAATTAACCATGGTATATTCCACAGCAGAAAGAGTTGAAATTATCGAAATATTTTTCGGAAATAATCAGTGCGCTAATAGAACAGCAGAAATATTTAATGAGCGACATGAGAACAGTAACCTGTATCGAAAATATCTTCTAGAACTTGTAGCTAAATTTCGGTAAACTGGGTGAGTCGCGAATAAAAAATGCAACATTGAAAATTCGATAAGGAACGAAGCTATAGAAGTGGGGGTTTTAGGGCAAGTTTATGTAGAAGTACCCGCAAATTAGAGACTGTGTGTGGTGTTAGTCGACGTACTGTCCAACGGATTCTAAAGGCCCATAGTTTTCATCCGTATAAAATTCACAAGAACTTAATGAAGACGATTTTGATCGGCGATTACAATTTTGTGAAGATATGAGTGAACGAATTATAAACGATGAACATTTTCTATTCAACACTTGCTTTTCCGACGAATGTTCCTTTTTCTTAAATGGTGTAGTGAATCGTCATAACTGCCGATATTGGTCCGATTCTAATCTCGAATTTATCATGAGATTCATACACACCAGCCACAAAAATCAAATGTTTGGGCTGGTATTTTTGGCGATCATTTTGTTGGTCCTTTTTTCTTACCTGGAAATTTGACCGGTGACACCATAAATCCTGCATTAACAGCCATAATTTAAAATCAGAATGATCGGCGGTACATTGCGAATAGGTTGATGTTCCAACAGGATGGCGCCCCACCACATTACGTTCGGTAACATTTAGATCAGGCGTTTCCAGATCGATGGATTGGTAGAAGAGGTGCCATTGACTGGCCCCCAAGATCGCCAAATTTATCAGCTTTGGATTTATTTATGTGGGGTCATTTAAAAAGCAAAATCTATGCCACTCAGCCAACATCATTAGAAGACCTGCGACAAAGAATTGTGAATGAGTGCCTTCATGTTACTCCTCAAATATTGCAAAATGTGCGGCAACGTTTTGAGCAAAATCTTTATTATTGCATGGAGAGTCATGGTGGCCATATTCAACATTTACTTACCTATCGGCATTGATCTCCACTAATGATGATGTATTAGTTTTATTTAAGCTTTAAATCAATAAATCTACATAAAACTACTGAACTGAAGTACATTAATTTTATATCATTATAAAGGGAATTGAAAGACCTTTAAAATAAGATATCACTCGACCCCCCTTTCCATTTAAGATTTTGGGGGTGGTGTCACCCCCGCTTAGGGGGGCTGCACGTGCCAAACTCGTGTCCCCATCGAAAACAAAATCGACGGGTTTGAGCGTTATTCAAAAAAAAAACTGCGATGCGCCACCATGTATAATCAAATAAGACAGAGTCAAGTCGAGAAACTAATGTATTGAACAGGTTTTTCTGTTCTAGCTGATTTCTTCAGAAAGGGGGTTATGGGGTTATACCGGCCACTGTTTACTTATCTGACGATTCGGAAGTCACACTAACATTTTCCAAAGAATATCCATAGACTATTATTCTATTCATATCCACGTTAAATAATCCAGAAAGTATCTAGGAGAAACTTTCTGATTTGATTTGGTGTAATGTCCGTTTTTGAATAACAAGAACCTCTTTTAACATATCTTTATCTTGCCAGGCCCAATATTGCGTAAAAAATTATCCAAATATTTATAAATAATTTTTTGATTATTCTGAAGAAACACAGTTCTGTCTTCTAAATTTGATTCTTTTCGAGATATAAGGAACTTAATGTTTGAGAATGTGCGAAATATACCATTTTTCGCCCTAGAGTTCCTAACCGTTCAAATATCATGTTGTTTATCGGGGTCGAGGATGCACTCTTCCGAATAATAAATGGCTATATCTCAAAAACTATCGTCTTTAGAGAAAAGTTCATAAGGAGAAAATAAACGATTTTTGGAATTAGTTTAAAAAATAGATGGAACTTTAGGCCTGACAAGATGTGGAAAAACTTCTTGGACTAAAAAGAGGTATATCAAATGAAAACCTGTTAGAGTAGGTCAAAGCAAGATTTTTGGCGTGTTTGCGGCGGACAACAAGAAAAATCAAGTGTCATATACGGGTAACGTGGCATTGTTCGAAATGTACAGATATGTTGCATTACTGATTTCATTTGGATATAATATACATGAAAAAGACGAAATATTCTTCACTCTTTGTAACTTCGTAAAACTACTTATGGTTCTGGTTTAATATGTCGTAGCATTTCACTTTGTGCTCTAGCTTAACTGATGTGATTTTTTGCATTTGTGCCTTTGATTTTGTTGCTCCAAACCGTAACTACCTTACGCGGTTTTATGAGAAAAGATAGTATGTCGAGATTTCTTCAAAATGTTTAAACAGTACGGTACATATGTGATCATATCGTGTCTAACATCAATAACTGTATTCGTACTGAGCTTAAAATGCGCGTTATAACAGTGTTTAAATGATGGATCCGCCGAAAATATGCAAATCTATCTGTTTTGCCCTTTGCATGTTGTCTGTGTCTGCATCCTGTGTGTATTTTACTAAAACCACGCTCAGCCTAATATTTTAAGTTCCTTTTATAAGGTTGTTCAAATGCGACTTTGATATGGTCAAATATTATACAATGACTTAAAACTGTTTGTTTTTTGCAGATTCCAGCCAACACAACCACCTCAACCAGTCCAACCTGCCGTGCATTCCGCGCAACCTGCAGTGTCATTCGCCAGGCACGTGCAGGAACAGCAGCAACATGGACAATGGGTTCCCACGGCTGAACAGCAAGCACAGCAAGCGCAGATAGAAGCAGCGAATGATAAGTCTAGAGCTGCTCAGATCCTGCATTATGCCAATGATAATATTGGAGCTGACACCTACAGCTACGCGTAAGTATTAGCTTAATGTGTCGCAAAAGTTTAAGTGACAATCACGACGTACAGTTCCTGTAGAATGGCGATTGAGCTTGCAATGGTAAATTCCTAAACGTTATTAGTAATAATCAGTAAGTACCTGTCGATTTTTGGGATTCTCGCGATTGGGGTTACTTTATTTCCCTTGGAATTAGGAGGAAATAGTTGACTTTTCAAAATTATGACTCGATTGTTAGAAAAATATTCCTACATTTATCGAGATGAGAAAGTTTTTTCTTACTACCGTTCTGGAGCGGCAAAGTGGCTTTCGTTAATTTCTAGAATCCTTGCTGCCGTAATCAGTTGAAAAATCGGTTAGCATCCATTTTTTCCACATACTTGTTGGTAATAGGTAAAGTTTCCTCTTTTACTTCCCACGCTTACTGGCAAGGAATTATAGTAATCGCGAACAAATCCTAAAATGAGATGTGATGATGTTTTTTGGGTGTGATGATGTTATATGACATGTTTCTTCCACTAATAGTTGCGCTCTCGGATTTGGATGAAATTTCCACACAAGGTTACTACTATGCCAAGGACTGTTGAAACTCAGTCCAGTCGTGGCGAAGAAAAGTTCATTCTTTTGACGTTTCAGATGCCCCTAATCATTTTCGGAAACATTTTTGTAATGATAAAAATTGTCGGCATTAGACTTCGCGCTATTCTGGCTGTATGCTGTAAAAGTCAATGTACTCATCCACGCGGAGTTAGCCATAACAACAATCATGTGCGCCCGCAGAAATTTCTCTGAAGGGCAGGGGGAGAGTCATTTAATTTCTTGTAATACATATTCCTAGCTAATCTCTTCCTCAGAAGAGTTGTGCCCAACATAATCCTTTACGAACAGATGTTGTGTGAGTAGTATTAACTGTACTTGACGCCATTTTCTTAAATGGGTACTCGCAAATGCGAAGCTTGAACCTCTTATATATACTAAGTGACATATAAATCCGAACACCCAGTTTAAATGGTTTTATTTTAATAAAATTTTGTATAAGTACTTAATGAAGCATAATAAGTAAATGATAAAAATTTCAAAATGATTGCACTGCTTTAAAGCCCTTTGACCTTTACTAATGTGTGGATGCACCCTGATGTGCTACGCATTCTCCAACCCGCCTAGGCATGCTTCTGATCAGGTGGTCAATGTCCTCCTGTGGTATCTCATTCCAGGCAACCACCAGCTCCTCTCGAAGTGCTTCTAGAGTCTGAGCAGGACGGTGCAAATTGAGCAATCTCTTACCCATCAAATCCCACACGTGCTCAATTGGGGATAAGTCGGGAGATCTTGGTGGCCATGGTAACAATGTGACATCATTATGTTGAAAGAAGTCTATTGTGACTCTTGCAGCATGTGGTCGGGCGTTATCTTGTTGGAAAGATGGATCTGCCAGGGTGTCAAGATAGGGTAAAAGATGGAGTACTAGAACTTCGTGGATATAACGCTGCGCGTTCATGTTACCTCTGATAAAGATTAAAGGTGACCTGGAACCATAAGCTGTAGCACCCCAAACCATAACTCCAACAGTCTGATGAACATGTGTTTCAACAAAAAACTGTGGATTCCTCCTTTCACCACGTCGCCTTTTAACCCTGGCACGACCATCGTGCATGCCTAAACAAAATCGAGACTCGTCACTAAAGACGATTCCTGATCCCAGAGTGACCGTTGTCTGCACCACTCAAGGCGATTACGTCGGTGTTCTCGAGTTAAAGGGAGGACCCAGTGTAGCCGGTATGAAAACAAGCCAAAACTTCTCATTCGTCGGTAAACACTTCGCATGCCAATAGGTCTTCCGTGTTCTGCAAACCATTCATTTGCAATGGACCTGGTAGTGGAGAAACGGTCCCTTAAGGCCAATAATCTTAGGCGGCGATCTTCACGGTCTGTTGTTCTACGGCGGCGTCCAGTGCCCCTTGCTCTTTGCGTACGGCCTTCTCGAAGCCATGCCTGACAACACCTAACCACAGTGTCTACACTTCTTTGCACTCTAACTGCAATTGCCCGAAAAGAAAGTCCAGCTTCCCGAAGTCCCACTATACGGCCCCTATCAAACTCACTAAGTTGACGAAATCGTACAGGTCTCCGTACTCTAAGCATCGTAACCGATCGTAAAGGATGTCAAGAACCAAAATCCGCCAACGTTGATTCTTTATTGCGGCTGAAATATTCATTTTTAGAGCGTTAGTGAATTAAAAAAAAACAGTATAAAAACCGGAATGTCCAACTGATAAGGCTGAAAATTTTTTCACTTGTTATTTACAGTAAGATAAATACATTCACCAACTTTTATTAAAATAAAACCATTTAAACTGGGTGTTCGGATTTATGTGTCACTTAGTATATATATATATATATATATAACGACAGCTGTAAAGCAGTAAGAAGATCTTAGTTCTGGCTGATATTAATGGAATTGGAAAAGATTTCGTTTATCTGAACTGTAATTTTGCAGCCATGGTGTTATTTTATGGATAAGGTGAGGCAGTTTAATGTTGAAATATAACAAAACAACAACAACAGTTAAGGTTGACCATTTATTAGAGATAAACGTCAGTCCTTACCAGCTTGCGAATCTAGGTGCACAATGTAAGCAGCTAGCGACTTTTATTCTCTACTATCCATTTAAGGAGAATCAGTTCGAATATTCTCATGCAGAGTGTCGCTGCTAATATGGAAAGAAGATGATAGTTACTTTGAGTATGACTATATTATTATAGTTTACTCCAACTTACTTAACATGACGCATGGTATAAGCCAGTTACTACCTATTTTCTACTGCACATCTATCTAACTTTACCAATCACACTTCAGAACTGTTGAAGCTTACGTCCTAGGGAAGAGTATTAGTCCTGTTCTCTAATGGGATTCATAATAATCCGACAAAAGCGCAATTTAGACAACTTCTTGATCAAATCTCTCAAAAAAAGTATAAGGTCTTGAGTCTCTCTCTATTATTTAAATACACTCTGAAAAAAATAGTTAAGCTGACAAAATGAATGATGCTGATGTTATGCCCAAGAAGTCACCATACCATAAAATTGATTTTTGAGTAACAGCTTTATTTTATAATTAACCGGCTTTGTTCTAAAAGTGTACGATAAAAAACAACTAAGCTATGTAATATCATTCCTTTGACTATCAACCAAGTACATACATAGCATATTTTCTTTAAGGAAGAAATTGAGGATTTGGTTATACGGACTTCGTTTTGAAATTCATAATCAAGTATACGAGTAATCTCTGGTAAACATATTCTAGAAACATACATTAAATGAAAAAATTCATGTAGATGCAATACTAACCTCACGCACTGTACTATTTATATTATACTATTATATTGTCCGTAGGTGGTAGACGGTCTCTGACTGTCGAGCGCTGAGGTACATGCACACGTGTTTCGTCGCCAGAGTCCGTGTGGCTTCCACCCTTTCCCCTATGTCCCCCTATAGCCCCACGGTACCCCATGCGAGTTAAGGCCTTAGACCTTCGTGGTGGTTGGAGTATGAAGAAAGAATGTATTCATACAATGTTTTAAGTAATTGTTATAAGCCATACACAGGCATTGCCTTGTATGAGGTCTCATACTTACTGACTTTATCGGTTCATATGTATAAATATTACTACTATTATTTACAGGATTGATCAGTCGGACGGTATCACGAAAAACGAAGACGGACAAGTAGTAAACCCTGGCACTGATAACGAATCGATCGCAGTTCGTGGTCAGTACAGCTACGTGGGCCCAGACGGTGTTGTATATACTGTCACCTACATCGCTGACGAGAACGGCTTCCAGCCTCAAGGAGCACATATCCCACAGGCACCTCAATAGCGATAAGGGACCCTAGGATATTTACCTTTTCCTTTTTAACTTATTTTTCTTCCATGTGATCTAGTATTTCTTTAAATAAAATAAAAATTGTATTACCTTACGCTATTGTTTTGTTTCTCGGTGATGATGCATACGTGAATATTGGCTCCAGGGAGAATCTAATTTTTAACCAAACTGGTAGGGTGACGAGATAAGCTGTCTGCCAGCAAATTTTCAATTTACAGTGCGATTGATAAACACAATTGTAATTTTTCCCACCAACTTCACTAGGTTGAAATAAAGCGACGTTCATGATTACCCGACCCTAAAGAAGCTTTTCATTCCTTAATATTTCTGGGATCTGGAAATTCCATTATTGCATTCATTGCACTCGCGGTGGGTCAATCACGATATAATCAGGTGTAATAATGTTATCGTAAGACTGCAATCTTAAAATGTTTGTAATAATAATAGGGTATCATCTGAGGTGAAGTCTACAAATCATTCTCCAAGATATACATACGTCAGCGATCTAGCTCTTTTTGTTCGCTACGCCAACGAACTTTGGTCCTCAGAGCTGTCATTCATGATGTCGCCACGTGATGCGCCTCCCAGACAGATCAGCCTGACTTGGGCCTCCCATTCTTAACTTGCCGAACTTCTCACATCCAGACTGGCCGATACGATATCTCAAAGGTCCCTATTGTATAGAGATTGTGGAACAGTCTCCATGAGGAGACTTTACCCAGTGCTACTAACCTTAGGCAGTTCAAAAATTGGAATAAAAAAGTTTATTCAAGCTGCTATCGAAATATACTTCCTGTGCTCTTTTTTTGCCAATATCGTGCAGTCATGTCCACAGCACTGAGAAAACCACTCTTATCAGATAGGTACCATAGCTTCTCGGGTGTAGGAGAAACCAGCAAGTCAGACGAACGCGCTTGCTCCTATCTATTTTAATAACAGTTATAAATAGTTGATATACGTTCAGTACGACAGGGTGAAATGACAACCGAAGATTACATATCCTCAACCTGCTTCTTGACTTGCTTGTAAAGATGATATCTACCATGATTTTTATAAAATACATGCCCATAAGTTTGAATCAAACGTAACAGCTTCTTTTCCCTTCCTCGTCACACACTTCTGCTTTATCTATTGCACTTTCAATCTTCGTATCAGAGTTTACATTCTTTTCCGACACTAAACTCACGGATACTCATTTCGAACCAAAGTTCGACTAACCCCTAAATGTTTGGAATTAACAATAACATGTTATTAAAAACTAGTTTCATATTCTCTGCGATGGATCAATGTCTTCCTAGCAACACCTGTTCAGTTAAATCCGGTACGATAAGATATATGGCTTCAAATGTTTTGCCCGCTAGAGGTGTTTGATGCTGGCAAAAACGAGAAGCTGGATGGTGTTGTCCAACAATATCTGTTAATAACTTTCACTTTTTGCAGAAATTTGGTTTAGAGAATATACAGGGTGTCCGCAAAGTTGGGGTTTTCCTTTTCAGAAACAACTACCCTTAAAATAACAAAGGTAATGTGTAGTGAAACGAGGGCGACCAAGTTAAAAAAAATACAGGAAAAGGTACTCACTCTCCAGTTGACGAGAAGGGCTAAGTACGTCTCTGCCCGAAATCATACTGCTCCAACCGAAAATGAAATCAGCTGATGCGCTACCGAGCAGACGCAAGCGGTGGCGCAGACCACTAACAGAGGTAACAGATATGACGGCGTTGCCGCGTTTTCAGTTTTTAGGTAAACGTACTTTATAGGTATTGTTCGAAGTTATCGGCGTTTGATTCAAAAACACAGGTGCGTGCACGACGTAGCCAAGCATCGGTGCAGGCTTTGAGAATGGTGTCCGTCCCCCGAATGAAAGCACCAGCTTGTTCAATTTTGAGACGAAGTTCGTCAACCGTATGCACTTCAGTTTTGTGCACTAAGCGTTTCATTTCTCCCCAAAGAAAAAAATCACATGGTGTTAAGTCTGGAGATCGCGGAGGCCACGCCACGGGTCCATTACGTCCGATCCACCTATTCGGAAATAATTCATTCCAAAACTCACGCACTTCGCGTCTAAAATGGGGCGGTGCACCATCGTGCAGAAACCACATTGATTGTCTTACACTTAATGGCTCATCTTCTAACAAGGAAGGCAAAATGTTGCGTAAAAAGTCTAGGTATTGCATCCTGTCCAATCGATTTGGGGGAATGAATGGTCCATTCAGCATACCCTTTACCATGCCAGCCCAAACATTCACCGAAAATGTTTGTTGAAAATGTGCCCAACGGACAGCGTGCGGATTTTCTACTGACCAAACATGAGTGTTGCGAAAGTTATTCACTCCATTACGCGTGAACGTAGATTCGTCTGTCACCAATATGCACTTCAAAAAGTCCGGATTATTGTCATGTTGATGCAACAACCACTCACAAAACCGCACTCTTGCTGGAAAATCGTCAGGTTGAAGGGTTTGTACACGTTGGACGTGAAACGGATACAGCCCCTCTTCACGCAGCGTTTGCCACACTTTAGTTTTTGATACTTGCACTTCTCTAGCCACGTCTCTAGTGCTTGTTGAGGGATTCTCGTCTACGCGATTATCTCTACACGCGTGACCGTAACCGTCGGTTGAAGGTTGCATACTGACCTGACACACTGACCCCGACCCAGTTCTGTCGTCGGGTTGAGCCAGTGACCTTGTATCAGTCGGTGATGTCGCGGGTCGCGGCTACAGGATGGTATTAAGATATTTTTGATGTTGCAGAGCCCTTTATCTCGGTTCCCTTAAGACATTGGTGTATATGGTACTAAGAAAAATTGCTTATGTTTTCAAGATCTACACGTCGTGTAAAGGAAAACCTCAACTTTGCGGACACCCTATTAAAGCAACTACTTTATTCTGTTCTATATACGCAGAGAAAACTGGCAATTGGAAGTAACCAGACGTAGGCAAGACTTCCTCATCATCAGTTATCATACCATATCTATTTAAATACCGCATCTATCTAGAATCACCATTATTTTGTTTCCCGTTCTAAATCTAGTTCGAGTATACTTTGGTCTCTTTTCAGTTTCAGGCCGAAACCTATGTTCATAACGGTAATGTATTTTTTTTTCTACCAGCGTGCGGAAGGTACTCAGTTTCAACACGCATCTGCGTGCTGAAAATGACTTTCTTATACTCAACACTGACGGACAGTGTATTTTCCGCACTTATTAGGTAAATAGCTATTACATACTCCCCCCTGAGTAACCTACATCTTCCACCACAGACAAGATTGCACCTCTTTATACCTCCGGACTTAAATGCTTGATAAGAGTATTTACTAAAACCTCCATTATACTTTCCATACTACAATTCATACAGAGGAACTCTGACTTCTTGCTCTCTCCAATACCTTTTTCATCCAAATTTGTATACCTCATAATTTGTAAAAGCAACACAACTAGCAAAGTAGTGCTATGAGCTTTTGGTAAAAGAACCGTTCAGCCATAAAAGCTCTCTATTGTTGTTGCCTGAATACCAAAATGCTGGCTTAATGTTGTGTGGAATGCAAATTTGCTTTCTGCAACATATTTGCTCTAAAATGAGGCGTTTCAAATATTCTTATAGCATAGTTATATAACGCCTTATAGGACAAATTTTTAACTATTGCATAAACGTTTATACAACTATTTTATACGGCATATTTGCACGTTAGTCAAAAGGTTGTGTTGTGGCATCCATGCTAACGTTTATAAAACAACACCGAGCCTTGTTGTTTTGCTGTGCATATTACTAGTTTAGCCAACAAGTTGCTCCCAACGGAAGCACTTATACAACTGTTGTTTAGTAACTGTTAAAGGCTGTACATATGCTAAATATGTTGGTATACAACTTCACCATAACCTAACTTTCTGCAGTCATATTTTTGTTAAAATGCCATAACCAATGTTTTAAGACAAACAACGCATGCACATTGGTTCAAAAGGTTTTATCAACTGTTCAAACAGAAGATATAGATCTTGTACAAATTTTGGGTAAATCATTCGATTCTGTCGATATTTCATTTCAGATATTTGTCAAATTGTAGTATAACACCTGCAGGCAACACCAAAATATTCTAATAAACTAAAGACAACGTGGACGATGCCATGATCGTACACAACCACCCGCCATATTGGGCAAGCATTTATTCCTCTATTTAGTATTAAATGTTTCAGTTCGAAATTACAGATATAAAGTGATAAACATTAGTGTAATTGTGTCTAAATGTAGGATTTGTGGAAGATTTGACGCAGTTAAGTTCAGTTTTCCATCTTAAAAATCTAGACATACTTTTTATCATTATCAAGATATGCATCAAATACGAAGCCCGTAGAAATTGCGTAACTACTTTGCAGGATAGTCACAATAAAATTTGCTGCGCAAGTAATTCAATAGCCCTATATCACAGTGTAGAAGTTTGTCATATACCTGTGTATAAAATTCACAATGGCCGATATGTAAGTAAACAAAATAACTGTAATGTGTTAAGTATATATTCTTCACTTCGTCTATGCAATTCATAAGAAATAGTTTGGTTCCAATAAAGTAGAATCACGTAACAGAGTAGTTGTATAGTTGACAAAAACTGAATCTTGACCTGACGCAAATGCCCTATAGCGGCTGCAAGAGGCTTACACTTTTGTTGTATAACTGTTACCTGCAGCCCTTATACAACCTCTTAAATGACTGAAGTGTCCTATTAGGTGTGCCCATTCCGCTTGTATAGCTGTTCTAAGACGGTTTTGCCAATGTTTTTACAGTATGCAATGCTGTGTAAGGAATACTGTATAATCATTCTTACAACTCTAATAGGAGGGATAATTGTTAGTTGGGAAATTCCCCATTCGCAGTCTAATCTGCCGCAGAATCTCTCAAGCAGCTGACTGCTAGCCCTGTTTGGTACGCCAGCGTCCACTAACAGGTTTCTGACCTCTTACTGAATTCCATTGATTG